ATTCATCAGTGGTGGGGCATCTTGGCTGTTTCCATAACTTGGCTATTGTGAATAGTGCTACAATAAACATGGGTGTGCAGGTGCCTCTGGAGTAACCTGTGTCACATTCTTTTGGGTATATCCCCAAGAGTGGGATTGCTGGATCATATGGCAGATCTATGTTTAGATTTTTAAGTAGCCTCCAAATTTTTTTCCAGAGTGGTTGTTCTATTTGCATTCCCACCAGCAGTGAAAGAGGGTTCCTTTTTCCCCACATCCTTGACAACACCTGTTGTTGGTAGTGTTTTTGATGATGGCTATTCTAACAGGGGTGAGGTAGAATCTTAGTGTGGTTTTGATTTGCATTTCCTTAATGGCTAGAGATGGTAAGCATTTTTTCATGTGTTTTTTGGCCATTTGAATTTCTTCTTTTGAGAAAGTTCTGTTTGTTCACGTGCCCATTTCTTTATTAGTTCATTAATTTTGGGAGAGTTTAGTTTTTTGAGCTCCCTACATATTCTGGTTATCAGACCTTTGTCTGATGTGTAGCTGGCAAATATTTTCTCCCACTCTGTGGGTGGTATCTTCAGTTTAAAGACCATTTCTTTTGTTGAGCAGAAGTTTTTTAGTTTTATGAAGTCCCATTATACAATAGCTTCTTAACTGGTCTTCCTACCTTCACTTGGATTGAAGCACAAATTCCTCTTTGACATGCAAAGCATAGTTTAAGACTCCCTATGGGCTAAATAAAGATAAAGCCTTTAAATGCCTTAACAAGCTTACACACACACACACACACACACACACACACACACACACACACACACACACACGCCTCTACCTTCAGGTCTCATTCTGGCTTCACCCATTCTGAATTTCTTGTAGTTCCTTTGCTTTTCTTCACAGCCTTTACAAATGCTCTTATCACATTGCCTTTCTCTGCCTCTAGAACTGTCTTCTCCCATTATTGTCCCCAGAGTCTGTCTGGTCTCATTCTGCCTTCAGCAGTCTCTGTTTAGTCATTTGGAGATTTTTGGATATTTTTTGGCCTTTCTTCTTTTTTCCTGCCTTCTCCTTTGACCCTAGCAAAAAGGGTCAAACAACATTAGATGAAGCCCACCTATAAAAGCTTGTCTTTCAAAAGGACACCTATCCCAGTGTGCTGGCTCCTCTTCACAGAGGTGACTTCCCACTTATTTTATAGGCTCTAAAGCTCTCTGACTTTCTGCTGCTGCTGGAACCTAATGATTGTGAGCCACAGACTAATTAACTGAAGCCTTAATCCTTTTGAGAAATTCTCCAGCCCTCAGAGAAGCAGGACCTAGGGGAAGAATCTTGAAGCTGATCGGGAAGGATACAAACACTAAAGGTGGAGTCTCCAGGATGAATCCCTGAGAGGCATTTTGAAAGGTCTTGATGGTTCAAGGTGGGTGGGAGTTTTAACCCATTTCTATCAATTGAAATAGTAGCTGACTTAGCACCAGGCAGTGTGCTAAGGTCTTTTCATGTGTGGTCTCATTTAATAAATTCACCTGGTATTATCTCCATGACCCAAAAGAGGAAACTAAACTAAGGCCTGGAGGTGTGATTTGCTCAAAATTGTAGCTAATAGTGAAGAAACTGGTACTGCTGGGACAAAAATATGTGTCTGAAGCTGGGCATGGTGGTGTATGTCTGAAATTTCAGCACTCAAGTAATGGAGGCAGGAGGATGGAGAGTTCAAGGTCAGCCTGGTCTGCATGGCAAGACCCTTTCTCAAAAGGCTTAAAAAAAAAAAGTTATCTGTCATGATTGTGTGTTTGACCTGGTCTGGTAGATAGTAGGTGCTTGATAAAAGTGAACTTGAGTAAATTAAGTAGCAGATGCACTAGATTAATGTGCCGGGTAGGAGGGGTGGGAATGAGGCTGGGGGTCTTCCCACACCTGAGGAAGATGAACAGCTTCTATTAGTGAAAGATTGTGTGGGGCTTGCTAAGCTGTCTTTCTAAGCATTTCACCCAAAGAAGCCTAGAAAATGCTTCAGTTTTCTGGAATCCTGGGGAGGAAGAGGAGGACACACTTTCCTCATCTGTCCTGCCCAGCTAGGATTCCTAGAGGCCCATGGAACATTAGCAAATGGTACCCTGCCCTTCCCCCTACCGGTTCACACAGATGAGGCCCAAGTGGAGGAGTAATCTGTAGTGCAAGTTATTTTGGAAAATTGCCTGACTAGTTCTAAATGTGGGCCAGATGCTAGGGTACCTTTCTGGGTTAAAGGAGCTATAGAGCTCTTAGGCCACCATGAGGCAAGGGGCTGAAGCCTGCCTGCCTGGGATTCTTCTCCATGATGCCATTGTTCATGCTCATTCATGGTTTCAAATTTCTAGCTCCCAAAAGGAGAGCATTACTTAGTTAAACTTCAGTCAAGCATCTGCTTAGATCAAATAGTCATGGCAAGCAGGTCCTGTGGTACAGAGATGACCACCAAGGACTCCTGCCTCAGTTCTTGGGGAGTGTGCCAAGAGAGGTTGTGAGCTGGGCAGCCATCATGGGGTCTACTACTGAAGTGTAAAAGTCTTTGTGGGATCCACCTCCCTTTTACTTGTTAGAAAAGTGGTCAGTGGGGCTTCATGTTAGGAAAAGTCTGCTGCTTGCTTCAGCAGCACATATACTAAAATTGGAATGGTATAGAGAAGATTAGCATGGCCACTGTGCAAGGATGGCGTGCACATTTGTGAAGTGTTCCATATTTAAAAATAAAAAAGAAAGAAATGTAAATCTGGTTTGGGGCAAGTGTTGTTACAAGACTGTTAAGATGAGCCAGGTACCAGTGGCGCACATCTCTAATCCCAGCTACTCAGGAGGCAGAGATCAGGAGGATCGTGGATCGAAGCCAGCCCAGGCAAAACCTATCTTGAAAAAACCCATTAAAAAAGGGGCTGGTGGAGTGGCTCGAGGTGTAGGCCCTGAGTTCAAGCCCTAGTACCGAAAAAAAAAAAAAAAAAAAGATGATCAAACAATAGGTTATACATGTAGAACCATCTAGCTCATGCCCTGGTATATATCTCCCCACCCCATTGAATATTAGCAATATGTTGTTACAATAATAATAATTCCAATTACTTCATATTCACTTTCTAAACTTTGAGCTTTTTACTCTGTGACTTACGTGAAATCAGCTGAACCCAGAATTACAGACAGACTCTTAACTGATAGGGCAGCTAAAGAACACAGTGTGCCTTTGGGTGTGACCTTCTCCTTTTACTGTGCATGGTTAGAGAGCTTTGTCAGGGTTGAAGAAAGGAGCTCTTGTGTATAAAATGTTTTCTTAATTTGTTCACTATCCTCTTGGCTGCAAGTTCTGACTTCCTGGTTCCTGTCTTTCTCTAAGTTGTTTGTTTCTGAGTTGCCCACCTGAAGGTGAACAGAGTGGTATATCCATGTGCTCTGTACACACACAGAAAGCATTGTGGAATGCTAATTTCCTCTTTCATGGTTATGCAGAGAGGACTTTGCACATACCATTTCTGAGGCCATGAATGGATTACAGGCCCCAGTGGGACATTTTTTACCCAAAGTAGAGGGTTCTGAGCTGTTGATTCTAAGAGATATGGGAAAAAGGACAGCAAGTGACAATTCCAAAGTGTTAGGCCTTGTTTCCTCATGGTGATACTGTGAGAGCAAGATAAGAGCTCATGTGGAAGTGCTTTGTGAACTGCTAAGTGTGTGTGTGTGTGTGTGTGTGTGTGTGTGTGTGTGTGTGTGTGTGGCAGGGGAGGAATGGAAGTGTTTGGACCTTCTCTACTAATCTGGGGCCGTGGGAATTGGTAAGAGCAGAGCCCCTCCCCCCCATGGTGACTCCCACAGGGGCCATTTGGTTGGAGCTTCCCAGAGGGGGTTGCCATCTGCCATTGTATTTTGAAGTTCATCAGTTCCTTCGTTCATTCATTCATTCATCTAGCCAGCCAGAAACTATTAGGCTCTTACTGTATGACAGTGGGGCACTAGGTGAATAAGAAACAAAAGATCCTACCCTTCATTGAGATTGCATTTTAGAGGGGATGCTGAAAATAAGAGATAAGTCAATAAAATATGAAGTATCTTTGCACCAGCAGACTTGGTACTTTGCCCTCTGTGGCCAGCACCCTGAAGGAGGTGCCCCTTTTCCCTCTCATACACCCTGATTCTGTCATGCTGTGTATCAGGCTACTTCCTCCCTTATACTGTGAGCACTATGAAGGCAGAGATTGAGTTGGGTTTGCTGTGTTTCTTCAGCACCTAGTGTAGTGCCTGACAGACATATGGAAGGCATACAATGTGGTAATAAAACCATAGTCAACCTTACAAAGAGGGTAGAAATAGAGAGGCACCCAGCTGTCACCATTTTCTGGGTATCTTTCCTAGAGTTAGTCTACTTACAGTATATATATGTATATGTGTGTGTATATATATACATTTATAGTATAAAATGTATATCTGTATAAATGTGTATATGTATGTATATATATATATTTGTGTGTATATGTGTGTGTGTGTGTGTGTGTGTGTGTGTGTGTGTGACATGTGTTTGAATGCCCTTTTTACCTTAGAGCTTCTTCTTTTATTATTTTCTTTAAAGACAGGGTCTCTTAATGTAGCCCAGATTGACCTCAAACTGGAGATCCTCCTGCCTCAGCCTTCTGAGTGCTGGAATTATGCCACCTTGTTTGTCCCTCCCTCCTTCCTTCCTTTAATAGCTCTGTTCCATTGTATGGATGTACATGACTTATTTAACCAGTTGTCCAGTGAAACCATTTGTGCACTCCACAGTGAACAACATTGTTTATTGTTATTCACACATGCAAGTCCTTCTGTAGGACAAAATCCTCCTAGAAATAGGATTACTAACTCAAGTTGATACGTAAGATTGATTTGTGAAGTAAGAGCAGAAAAAAAGGCCCAACAGTTGACTAATGACCATGTATAATGGACAGGTCACTGTCCATTCGTAGTCTGCTTAAAGGCCTTATGGCATCTGATATAACTTCTTTTTTCTTCACCAGGCCGGAGACACTATGTTCAATCGTGCCAAGCTCCTCAATATTGGCTTTCAAGAGGCCTTGAAGGACTATGACTACAACTGTTTTGTGTTTAGCGATGTGGACCTCATTCCAATGGATGACCATAATGCCTACAGGTGTTTTTCACAGCCCCGGCACATTTCTGTTGCGATGGACAAGTTTGGATTTAGGTAAGAGATGTTTCTCTTTTATATGTGCAATAGGAAATGTTCTGCCTCCCCCAATGTGTGCCTCCAGGTTCTGCAGGAGAATGCTGCCTCTGAGAAATGGCTGTTGTTTAAGTCCAAGTCAGATATTATTTGAGAAGGGAAGAAGAGTCCAGAAATGCCTGTAACTACTGCATATCCAGATGAGAACAGTTTTTTTTTGTTTGGGGGGCTTTTTTGGTGGTATTAGAGGTTGAACTCAGGAACTCTTTTAGGCAGTACTGGGGTTTGAATTCAGGGCCTCACATTTGCTAGGAAAGCTCTCTACTACTTGAGCCACTTCACCAGTCCTGTTTTGTGTTGGGTGTTTTCGAGGTAGGATCTTTCAGACTATTTGCCGAGGCTTACTTTGAACTGTGATCCTCATGATTAGTCTCTGCCTCCTGAGTAGGTAGGGTTACAGGTGTGAGCCACCAGCACCTGGCTAAAGGGAATGATTTTTTTTAGACAGTATACTGGGGTTTGAACTAAGGGCCTCAGGCTTGCTAGACAGTTGCTCTATCACTTGATTCACTCTTCCAGCCCTCAGTCTGCATTTTTGAGGTTGGATGTCTTGGTAGATGTTCCGTAGCACTTTAAAAAGGAACATGATTCTGTTTCCCAGCAGAGCACAGGCTTCTGCTGAAGCATGGAGTTCACACCTTTCCACCAAAGTGTCCCTAGTGAAGGGCCCAGTTATTCCCATCCTCAGGGGCAAAGGTATAATTCCCACCTTTGGCATATGTGGAACATAGCCTTGTTGTCCATTTTTTTAATCCATAATCTATCATAGTCTTTTTGTTTGTATAACATAAAATTGATTTTAATTACCCATCAGTTGAATAATATAACCTTCCCTTCCTCACTTCAAATGAACTTGAAGCTCCAGGAAGCTGTGCTGCAGGGTACCCATGTTTTAGGTACCCTGGGTTAGGCTGAGGAGCCAGTGTGGCTTGTATGTACAGACAGCAGTTCCTTTGTGTGAATACAACTATTTTCTATTAGGCTCATTCTCATCCTTTCTTCCTCTCCTCCTCCTAGGGGCATGAAGGCCTTATATTCCTTGAAGAACATAAGTCTTACCCCAGGTCAGAGCTACTCAGGAGCTGAACTTATGGGGAGAACATTTGAATGTAGCATCATTTTTAGACTTTTCAGAAATTACTCTACACCCAATCTTTCCTCCCTCCCTCCCTCTCTGTTTGTCTTCTTTTTGAAATAGACAATTTCATACCTGATACCTATTATTCCTCACTTGAAATCATCCCTTCCACCATCGGGACCAAGTGATCACCCACTTTTTTACCACAGTGCTATGTGTGGTTTACAGAGAACCAGTCAGGTTTAGGGGCCTTGGAAAGACAGAAAAACCAAATCTTGTCAACTTAGCATGTGCTTCCACAAAAGTGGCTAAGAATCTATTTCTACAAAAACATTTATTATCCATTCAACCCCCCCTTGTACTATTAATGTATGCTAATAAATAAAATGTATTTAAAAAGAACAAAAAAAAGGCATTAAAATAATATTTTTTGTGGTACTGGGGCTTGAACGCAGGGCATACATCTTGAGCCACTCCACCAGCTCCTCCACCCCCTTTTTGTTTGTGATGGGTTTTTTGGAGATAGGGTCTTGGGGAGCTGTTTGCCTGGGCTAACTTCGAACCGCGATCCTCCTGATCTCTACCTCCTGAGTAGCTAGAATTATAGTGCCAGGCCAAGATAAAAAAAAATTTTTTTTAAATTATCAGAAGACCTAATTGGTCTGAGTTCTGTAATCCTAGAACTCAGGAAGCACAGGCAGGAGGATTACAAGTTCAAGGCTATATATAGTGAATTATATAGTGAGTGTGCTATATAGTGAGTTCCAGGCCAATCTAGGCTACCTAGAGAGACACTGCCTCAAAAAAAAAAAAAAAAAAAACCAAGCAAAAAAAGAATTTATTGGTTTGGCCACCTCTAATTTAATCCTCACATTAAAGGTGTGATGCTGGTGGCTCAGGCCATAATCTTAGCTACTTAGGAGGCTGAGATTGGGAGGATCATGGTTCAAGACCATCCTGGGCAAGAAGTTTACATGACCCCATCTCCAAAATAACCAAATCAAAATGGGACTTGGAGGTGTGACTCAAGCAGTAGAGTGCCTGCCTCACAAGCATAAAGCCCTGAGTTCAAACCCCAGTCCCACCAAAAAAAAAAAATTATTATAAGCTGGGCACAGTAGTACATGCCTATAATACCAGCAACTCTGAGGCTGAGGCAGAAGGTTTATGAGTTCAAGGCCAGCATATGCAATACAGTACCCTGTCTCAGAAAGAGGGAGAGGGAGAAGGAAGAAAAGAGAGAGGATGAGAGGATGCTCAAGTAAGTGCTGGGTATGGTAGTGTACACCTATAATCATAGCACATGGGAGCCTGAGACAGGAGGATCCGAAGTTTGAGGCCAGACAGGGCTACAAAGTAAGACCCTATTCCCCTTGTTCCCTCCACCCCCCAAAAAAAAGGTGAAAAAAGAAAATAATTCAGTGATGTCTTTAATTTCATATATTCTATATGGTTTGGCTGACTTTCCCTCTCAAAGTCTGAACTAGAGTTTTCCTTAACGTATGTGATGGGTTTTAGTCTCTTTGAGGTTCATTAAGAGCCTGAATGTGGTTTGGAGTTGCACTTAAGGTTGACACAAAACTGAAGTCCTGGAGGACCTACAGAAAGGCCTTTGTGTGGCATTTGAGGCACATCCTGATTCTTGATGTTTCTCATCAGTGCTTGCTCTATCTCACAGGAGTTCACCATTCATAACCATTGAGATAATTGAAATACAAAAAGGTACAGAAGGATGATGTCCCCTACTTGGAAATATGTAAAAATAGATTCATAGCTGGGCACTGGTAACTCACGCCTGCCTGTAATCCTAGGTACTCATGAGGCAGGGATTAGGAGGATCAAGGTTTGAAGCCAGCCCAGGCAAAATAGTTTGTGAGACCCTCTCTCAAAAAAAAAAAAAAATCACATAAAAGGGCTGGTGGAGTGGCTTAAGGTGCAGGCCCTGAGTTCAAACCCCAGTACCACAAAAAAATAATAATAATAATAGATTCATCATTATGCATTTTGCTAAGTCAGGATAAGTAGAAATTTCAAAGAATATTTTACTGGAGCAAATTTCCAGAAATGCTGCCTCAGCTGTTAAGGTTACAGTTAAAGCTGTTTTTACGCCTTTTGGTAGATCGGGTGGAAAGAGGACACGGTAGAGTGGTCACAGGGAAACTCTAAAGCAGTCTCCGGTTCAGAGCCTCTTGGATAAGGAATTCTTTGCAGGAGCAGAGCACATGGGAATTAGATTTCTGAGCACAGCAGAAGAACTGTGCTTATGCCCCACTCTTGTCACAGGCTAGTGTTCCAGATAACCACAGAAACAGCACTGCATTCTTGGAAAGAGGAAAAGTATACATTTTGATACTCGTATCTTCTCTAGGATGATCTGAGCCATGACACAAAAGTAAACCAAATAAAGAAAATCCTCATAGACCTCCAAAAATCAAAATTTTTCACACTGGAGGTGTGGCTCAAATAGTAGAGTTGAGTGCCTGCTTTGCAAGTGGGAAGCCTTGAGTTCAAGCCCCAGTACCACCCAAAATAAATATTTTTTTCAGGAAATGAAGAATAACTAAAAGTGTTCATGCATTAATCAAGCTTTATTTTGGGGCTGTCAAAACTTACTAACCACGGATGCTCTGTGTATGTGTTTTTTCCCCCAGCCTACCTTACGTTCAGTATTTTGGAGGCGTTTCTGCTCTAAGTAAACAACAGTTTCTTGCCATCAATGGATTTCCTAATAATTATTGGGGTTGGGGAGGAGAAGATGATGACATATTTAACAGGTAATGTTCCAACTTAGATCTTTTTGTGCCCTATCAACCTTTACTTTCAGTTCTTAAATCAGTACTTAATTATTCATCAAGGATTGACTCTTAGGAGGAAAGCAGTCACCATTCAGCCCAGATGCTTAGACATGTGTTCTTGTAGATCCTGCAGGTGCTAAGCAGGGTCTTTAGGAAAATGGGAACCAAGTAGAGGAGCATGCTTACTTTGAATTGTATATGCCATTTTGTGCCGAAGGAAAAATTCAGTATCTCATTGTGGTCCCCTTTCAGTGTGAAACAAGTTTCCTTGGTTAGAAACCTAACTTTCTTCACTGCACTTTTGTACTATATTTTTATTTTGGAATATTTTTACCATACATGAAAGAAGATAAACCTTGTGTACTCCACAGCTATCACACCATGGCTAAATTATCCACCTCCCAGGACTCTTTTTAAGCTGGTAAACCTGTATGCTGTGGGTTGTCATGGCAGGTAGTGAAAAGCCATCTGTCGGTGGCATTTGAAGCCACATTCTATTTAGTGCTCCCTGCCAGTGGAGCCTTCAGTCCCGCCAGCTGCAGATCAGAAGCGTCTTCTCCCTCTGGGAGCAGTCTGAACTTGTCACTCAGTTTGATTCCAGAACATGTCCAGGTGTACCCTTCCTGAATTGGAGTACATCTATGTATTTATTTATTTATTATTTTTTGGTGGTACTGGTGTTTGAACCAAAGACTTTGTACTTGCAAGGCAGGTGCTCTGCTGCTTCAGCCACAATTCCAGCCCTGGAACACCCAGTGTCATCCAACGTTACCTTTATGTGAGAACTTGACGTGGACTCAAGTCTTTAATACAGGCCTTGAAGGAAACTTTAGTTTTAGAATATACAAACTGATTATCAAGTATGCATATACTGAAATCTGCTGCATACATAACATTGTGCCAGGCAGGCCCAGTGGGAAAGACACTGAAGACCTGGACACAAAGGTCCAAACAGAAACAACCCCTCTTCCACAGAACCACACTTCCGTGAACCTTCTGCACTACTGTGGTGATGTGCAGGGTTAATAGGATACCACAAACCTCAAAAATTCAGGGTGGCTGGGGAGGAAGGAAACATCTAGAATTGACACACCAAGGTGGTGGAACTAAGGGATGTGTGGTGTGTGGAGCAACTTTCTCAAAGATGAAAGTACTGTGAGCTACTTGTTGTATGCCAGGCACTGGAATAAGCACTAAGAGGAAGGCAAGCCTGTAGGTCATTCAAGGTCAGCCAGTCCTGCTTGCTCTCTTTGATGTTCCTGCTGTCAAGGCTTCAATTTTTTATCCTCATTCTATTGCCCTGGACTAACGAAGAATCCTCAACCCTGGTCTGGCTGCCTCCAGTTTTGTTCTCTGCCCTCCATTCTTGAAACAGAGAGATGTCCCCATGGCCAAAACCATTCGGGAAGCACTGCACATTGTGTCCCAGAGACTGGCACTGTTGAGTGGTATGACCTGAGATGGCCTCCATGACTTAGTCCCTTGCTCTTCTTTCCATCCACATCACCTTCCACTTCCTACCCACCCTTTTTCCATCAGTCTCTGGAAGCTAACATTCCTTGAGGGCACTGTGTTGGCTTTCACCTTTATGCATTTGCCTGCACATCCATCCTCATGACTTGCTCCAGATGAGTTATTCTTTCTCTGCCCACTCCACTTCCCCTTCTCATCTGCAGCCTGGCACTGAAGGCCCCAGGTTCTGAGCTTCCACACTGTATTCTGTGAGGGCAAACACCACAAACTGCAAGTCATTGGTGAAAAGGCAAGCAGAAGGAGTGTAAGTTTTAACTAAGGTTGCATGAGTCCCAGCATGGTGCTGGGGTTTGCCCTGATTGAGAACAGCTAGCAGGCTTATGGGTGGGGCAGCCTTACAGTTTACAGTCTTACAGCTGGGGCTATTGGATCCAAGCCTTATGGCAGCTCTAGAATAAAGACTTGTCCCTTTACTCTTTGCAGATTAGTTTTTAAAGGCATGTCTATATCTCGCCCAAATGCTTTGGTCGGGAAGTGTCGCATGATCCGCCACTCAAGAGACAAGAAAAATGAACCCAATCCTCAGAGGTACATTCTGTGTTCATTCTTATCCCTTCTTCTTTCCCCTTTAGGGTGGTGCAGGCTGCAGGGCTGAGGCTCTAGAGAGGGCTCTGTGCCTCCAGAGAAATGGAGGCATTCAGTCTGAGGGCAGGGACCCAGGATGAGGGTGAGGAGTAGGGGGAGAAGTACAAACATACCTTCTTAAGATTTCTGTTTTGACACTTTCTCCTTGCCCTTTCTTTCCTTGTAGGTTCGACCGAATTGCACACACAAAAGAAACTATGCGCTTTGATGGTTTGAACTCACTCACCTACCAGGTGTTGGACATAAAGAGATACCCATTGTATACCAAAATCACAGTGGACATCGGGATGCCAAGCTAGCGCTTTGGTACAAATAAGAGACCTGAAAATGGCTAGGGACCTTTGCTGTGTGTCTCTGCCAGTCTGCTGGGCTGGTCCCTCTCATTTGTACAATCTGAGTGATAGGTTCCCTCACTCATCAATCAGATGCCTTTCCAGATGACCAGGATCAGTGGAATATTTTGCTCCCAACTTGGCTCGGCATGTGGCTTAGTTCTACATGGTGTTTGTCAGTGTAAAAATGGTGAGCCTTTGGGGGCTTCTTGACAAGTTCACAGGTGTCACCCCAAATAGAACTGACAGCGCAAACCTGGGTGACTGTGGGGCTCATTCACACTGTTAAAACTACTAAATTGTAAAATGGGTAAGAACTTTGCCTTAAATTGTGGTGTTCTTATTACTTCATGAAAAATTGGATACTGCTGCTGAATTTGGATGGGTATGATATCTTTTGGTTGTCATATTTTAGACAGAAAAACACAAAGTTTCAACTAGTCTCATGTTCCATGCCTCCCCCACCTTCTCTCAGTGGTATGCAACTATTACAATCACTGTGTGTGTGTCTTTTAGCAAAAGAATTTTAAAACTTGAGCCTTTTGTCCTGCTTATGTATGAATTCCAAGGCATTTTTAGCCATCAGAGCAAAAGCCTTGGATCGTCTCACTTACAATGGCCTATCTCCAGATTGTCTGATTTCTGAATGTAAAGATTTTTTTTTTTAAAAGAAGCAGTTTGTAGTATTTTAAAGAAAGAACAAATTGAGTTCTAATTATGGTATAGTTTGATTTGTGCTGATCCAAATTTGCATTACTGTTTAGTGTTAAGTCATGACAATTTATTTTTCTGGGCATGCTATGTAAACTTGAATTTCCTATGTATTTTTATTGTGGTATTTTAAATGTGGGAGGGGATTGAGCAGTTTTTTTAGTGGAAAAAAATAATGTATGCTGTAGTGGCCACAATGGGCCTCAGATTTAGCTGGCAGGCCAGGTTTTATGAGGAGCAAAATCACCGTCAGGTCCCTTGGCGAGGGCAAGCCCTCCCAGTCAGCATTATCCTGCCAGACCTCAGAGACCTGGGAGACAGTCTCTGTCTATCTGGCAGAACTCCCCACCTCTCCACCCTCCCCAGGTGGGCAGGATGGAAGGAACCTCAACCTCCTTGAACTGACCCCTCAGGGCTCTAGGTTGTGGGGTTGTTTACCATCCCTTGGTACCTTCTCAGTTGGGGGAACCCCTGTTCTGGCGGGGACTGCCTCCCAAGAGCCTCTGCCACACTCCCCAGGCCTATCCTACATTACTGGTTCTTCCCCTTCTCCCCTTCCTCTCCTGCTCTGCCTGTTTCTTTTCCTTCCTCTGCCTCTTACCTGTTCCCTAAAACTTGCCTTTGGCACTCAGGGTCAAACAGACTGTTCATTCTCCAGCATGAATATGCCTTTTAGTTATTGATCTAAAGAGTTAACTGAACCAACACCCTGAATCCTCCTGAGAACTCTGGTGCCTAAAGCCTCCCCTCCCACTCAGGGTTTTAGCAGGTGCTCTACCTGGTGAGGCTAACCCCTAACCCCCAGGGGCTTCATTCACAAACTCACCTCTGCTGAAGAATGGGTAGCTAGCTGCCTGGGGTAAGACAGCAGGAGGCACTTCTACCACAGAGGCCTTTGCCAAGTTCATCCTGGACTGAGGTCCTAAGATTCAGCTCCCTAATCCCAGAGTTGAGCCCTTTGCTTTTGGCAACCAGGACCCTAACCACTGCCTCATGGGCAACATCCCTGAGTGTGGAGGCTGAACTGTTGCCTGGCCTTAATCCTACCTGTGCCTTTATCACTTTGAGCATCTCAGATGCTAACTTGGTTCTTTTTCCAGAAGCCTTTGTATTGATTAAAAATTATCTTTCTCTGCAGAAGCAATGGGCTTATGCTAAGAGTATTCCTCTGTCAGTTTCTATGGCTTAACAATGTTACTAAAACTGAGACCAACTGCACTGAGAACAAGTTTGGGGAAATACAAAAGACTTTCTTTCTGTCCCCGGATCTTGACTTTTCCAAAGTGCCTTAAAGAAAGGAGACAGATGCCTGTGTGGTAACTTTTGTTACCTCCTTTACTCTTAAAATCCTGTCTTTTCTTCTTTCTTTTCTCCAGTTACTTTTTTTTTTCATGTCAAATATGTTCATTTTGAAAACCAAGGGAAATTCCGCTGTGCCTGTACACCCCACTTGCTGACCTTCCAGTGCTCTCACAGGCTCTGCAGGCCCAGGGTATTGTTAGGCCTGGAAGTTTGCCTGGCTTGTGAGATGTTTTGGTCAGTTCCCTCACTGGGGATTCCAGAGCTGAGGGTGCAGGGAGCCATTTCCTTCACCTGGGAGTTGTTGTCATGTACCAAGCTGTTGTTATATATTGTGCCTTCCTCTGTCTTTCTAATACTATTGCTGGTGACCTGTGTGATGTGGCCTTTGGGAAAGATCAGAAGCAGAGATGGCACAGGAAGGTAAAGGAAATGCTGTCCTAGCCTTCAGACTAGTCAGAGTCTGTATTGACCAACCACTGGGCTGGGTGTGGGGTGCCCCCATGCAGCCAGGATGACAAGCTTTCCTATTCTAGAGACCTATCGTGCTATGTGTTTTGATATCCCATGTATGCAAATGTGTGTATTTACCATGGGGGGATTTGGCATGTGACCTTGGTGTTAAGAACAGACAACTGTATTTTTGCCTTTGCAATCCAGTGATATAACATGAATAAATGACCCTATCTTTGTAACTGTGGGTGATTTCTCTACGACTGAAGGGGTTTGGGCCCTTTGCGGGGCTGCCTGCCTGGAAGATCTGAGAAAGGCAGAGATTTGCCAGCAGGCCCTCTACTGCTGGAGCAGCTCCCACAGCCCTTTGTTATACTTTATTTTTGAGACCAAGGTCTCCCTAACTTTGCTTGGGTTGGCCTCGAACTTGTGATTCTCCTGCCTCTGCCTCTCTACTGGCTGGGATTACTAGAGTGTACCACCATACCTAGCCTTACGTAGAGACTTTTTTAAGGTTTAAAAGAAAAGCTGTATCTAAGCCAATGACTGATATCTCACAGGCAGTCACTACGTAGTACCTACCACCATTTCAAAGTAGAAGTTTTCCTGGCAGTTCTCTATCCACATTCTGCTGTTTTCAACACATGGCCAGGCTGTTCAGATGTAAATCACAGAGGCATTTGTGTAAGGTATTCACAGTGGAACTTCAGTGGTATCATTCAAAGTAAGGCTTCTTGTCAGCCCAGGAAATTTAGACAAGGACTCTGAAGGGTCCTAATTGTTACCCAAGTACTTGAGACAGTAAGTATACCAAGTGCCTCCTCCTTGGTGGTCCTGGGTCAAGTACCAGCAGCCTTTCACATGCTGGTTGAGTTGAACTGGCCACTCCTGAAGAAATGGCCCAGATGAAGCCAGAGTGCGGAAGAGGCTGCCCTGCTGCCCTCCAGGCCAAGGGAGCCCTGCCAGAATGAAGGAGTGAATGGAGCATCAGTTAGGAATCAGGAGCCACCCAGGGCCATCTGCTTGTCTCCATCCATCCATGTAATTGCTGGAGGGATCCCCGGTGGCTGAGCAGAGATTGCCAGGGTTCAGATATGGCCTTCAAACAGGATGCCTTTGCCCTTTGGACATGGTACTGCCTTACAGAGTCTGAAAGAAAGCCAGTGTTTTTCCTTATCTCCTCACACACCACCACTGTCAATGCTTCAGTTGTGTTTGTTTTTGGCATACTTGGATTTGAACTCAGGACCTCATGCTAGCTAGGCAGGCACTGTACCACTTGAATCAAGACTCAAGCCCTTTTGCTTTAGGTTATTTTTCAGAGACAGTCTAGCTTTTTTGCCTGGGCCAGTCTTAGACTACAATCCTCCTACCTATAGCCTCCCAGTGTAGCTGGGATGACAGGCTGGGATGCACCACCACACCCAGCTTGTTTAGTTGAGATGAAATCTCACTAACATTTTGCCTAGGCTGGACTGGTACTGTGATTCTCTCAATCTCTGCCTCCTGAGTAGCTGGGATTACAGCCATGAGCCAGCGGACACCAGCTGGGAGTCCTATAGTGTAACTCATTCTAACACTGTCTACTTGGAGTCAGAATCAGATCCCACAGGCTAAGAACTCAGCCACCAGACTGTCCCCATCTCAGGTGCCAGCAGCTAATAGTAGGTTGTGACCTGTGCTTCTGACCAACTAGCTCTAGGTTGTGGTGCAGATGACTCCCTCCTCAGGTTCAATTAATTTGCTAGGATGGCTCAGGGAGCTCAGAGAAACACTCCTGTTTCCTGGTTTATTGTAAAGGAGATTATAAAGGATGCCAGTGAGCCTCTGGATGAAGAGATGCATAGGGCCAGGCCTGTGGGAAGGGGAGTGCAGCTCTGGCTGCCCCCCCTGCCCCCATGCATCATTGTCAGGGGCCTCCCCTGTCCAGAAGCTTATCCAAACTCTGTCCTTTTGGGGCTTCATAGAGGCTTCATCATGTAGGCATGGTTGATTATGTCATCAGCTGTTGGTGATCTACCCAGCCTTCAGTCCCTCTCTCCTTCCTGGAGGAATGGGATGGGGGCGGGGGGAAGCTGAAAGGTCCAAGATCCATGTGCCTTGATCTTTCTGGTAATCAGCCCCCATCCAGGAACACACCAAAAGTTACTTCACTAGAACAAAAGACATTCCTTTAATGCAGGAAATTCCAAGAGATTGGGAGCCTGCATTAGGAACCGGGGACAAAGACCAAATATTAGAACAAAAGATTCTCCTAGTGCCCCTATTGCTCAGGAAATTAGAAGGGTTTTAGGAACTCTGTGCCAGGAACTAGGGGCAAAGGCTAAATATATATTCTTATTAAATCACAGTGTCACACATGGCTTTGCAACCTGTAAGATCTAGGTTAAAAGATAAGAGTAAAAAGTAAGTTCATCCTTCCCTCCCCAGCCACATACATCCACATGGATGCATTCACACTAACATGCGTGACATGCCCACCATATATCTATGAGAAGCCAGAAGACTTGGGTTCAAATCCTACTGTTGCCTTTCTGTGATTGTGAGCAAATTAGAGCCTCTTTGTGCCTCAGTTTCTTGGTCTGTATGATAGCTGTAATTAGTATTTCTTGTGGTCTTTATGAAGATTAAGTTAAGCCAGGCATGGTGGTTGGACGCCAACCTCGGCCAAATTTGTAAGAACTTGGTTATCTTAGAAGCAAAATGCAACAAAAGGGCTAGGGGCATGGCTCAAGTGGTAAAGCCCTTGCCTAGCATGCACCAGGCCCTGGGTTCAATCCTCAGTTATCTGCACCGCCCCCACCCCCCAAAAAAAAAGACTCAGTGAGTTAATACTTATAAATTTCTTAACATATGCCTGGCTTATAATAAAAATTATAAATGTTTTAAATGCTTAAGTTTTTTTTTTAATCTATTTTTACAATGCTGGGGATTGAACCCAGGACTTTGCACATGCTAGACAAGTGCTGTACCAACTGAACTACATACAGAGCCCTTGTTAAATTTTCAGAAAGGCATGTGGGCACATGCGTTGGCATGTACATTTATTACCATGTACATATTACCCACATATACATATGCATAAGCCCAAGTGCTGGGTTGGTCCTTTTTCCTCTTTTAGGGAGCATGTCTGGAGCTTTGCTACATAGTGCTTACGTAGATGAACATCCAGGTAAGTGACTGTCCCTCTACTGAAAACACCCAAGGCCTCACCAGAGCCATTTCTCCCACCCCTTCTCTACTACCTGAGCCAAGGCATTTGGAATGGCAGCCTTGGAGAGGAAGGAAGTTGAAACCCCTCCCCATGGGCTCCAAGAGCCCAGAAAGGGAGGGAGGTAGACAGGAGGAAGGAGTCCCAGGAGCCATTTCTTTGGGAAATGCTGTCTCTTGTTTCCTACTTCAAACAGGACTAGAATCAAGTCTGAGCCAGGCAAAGCTGCTGCCTGTTACTAGTGGGTTTGGTGGACACCAGATCCACCATATACTACCTCTTTTCCATGGGAGAATGTGACCTGGGTGCCAAATCACTGAACTTCTGGAGGCGGGGCTGTGGTGTCCAGGGAGATGGGTGTCTCAGAGGTGTGTGAGGGGTGTGTCCCCTGCAAGGACAGTTTGCTGTTTTTGACCTAGGCAAGCTATTTGTGGAGAGCATAGGGAAGAGGATAAGGAGATGGGAAGGTAACCACATGCTTGTTACCAATTTCCACCACAAGTCCAGTCTCCCCTTGTTTTGATGCTTCCAGGAGGTGGGAGCTCAGACATTCCTCAGGGTCAGTTTCTTATTACAACTGGAACTTTTTACCCTGTCAGAAAGGAAATGAAGTTTGTCTGACTGAGTCTGTCATGCCAGACAAGCCTCATTTCCTTGTTTGGCAGAGTCCCTGGGGAAAGAGCATGACTGCTGCCTTCATCTGGGCTTTAGAGTCTGTACCGAGGGTGCGAGGCAGAGGGATCTGGGTGGCATGGTTTCAGTATAGACTGAAAATTAGAGGAACATAACACTCCAAAGACATCTGCACTTCTGCAAGATGCATGCCAGGGTCATCAAGGGTAGAGACTGGGCACAAGGATGTCACAGCATATTTGCAGACAGTGAGTGTCAGGTCACCAAGCAGGGAGCCTGGGAAGGCAGCCAGGAAGAAGTCATGGAAAAAAATGATGATTACCTCTGCCCTCCCTCTTGCTGTGTGACACCGGGTAACTGGGTTTCCCTTTCTGTTTGCTTTTTCATTTTATGACTTGCTCTTATAATTTATTCTTGGTCTTCCTTCCTCCGGCAGCCCTGGTATTGGGTTTTCCTCTTATCCCTGAGGCTAACTTTTTCTGTGATCATGAAGGAAATCATTGTTGGTCTGAGTCTTCATTTGTAAAAACAGCAGAACCATCCCTGCCAGCTCCCTCCATCCTCTCCACTCCCTTCCTATGGCTTCCTTGAGCATCACAAGGTGATTTGTTATTTAAATTCTGCCTGGTGAGGGAAGGCTGGGATGGTATTGCTGATGCTGTCACCCTCTTCTACTGTATGTCCCTCTGAGCTCCAGGCAGACTCTCCCTTATTTGCTTGAGACAGTGTCTCACTACATGTATAGCCAGGCAGGCCTTGAACTCTTGACAGAGAGAGTTCCCCAGCTGATTGCTGCTCCTCAGAAACACTTCTTTGTTTTTGTTCTTCTTCCCTTCACCTTCTCTCCCACAGGCTTTCAAACATCTGGTTTGCTGATCATCTCCTACTGAGCTCAGCAGGCTGTAGAGTACCCAGGGGACCTGAGCAAGAAGCACAGGGATAGAGGCAGGTGGCTGAGCCTGTACTCAGTTTCTGGGAGGAGATAGGATTAAGAATAGGGAAGGAACAACCTCGGCACTCAGCTGGACCGTCTGCCTTGTGACATAATTGTACAAAGCACAATGATGTGCACCCATTAGGATAACTATTAGTAACAGAAATGAAATTAACATTGGAAAAAAAAAGAAATTAATGTTGGTAAGTATTGCAGTAATTGGAGTCCTTGTGCATTGTTGGTGGCAATGAAAAATGTTGTAGTCACTATGGAATACGGTATGGCAGTTCCTTAGAAAATTAATCCTAGAATTGTTATGTGATCCAACAATTCCACTTCTACACACCTACCCCAAAGGAACAAAAGCAGGGACTTGAGCAGGTATTTGTTCACAGTGGCCTTATTCACAATAGTCAGAAAGAAACATCCTAAATGTCCATGGATGGGTGATTGGATAAAGTATCTATATATACAATGGGATATTATTCAGCCTGAAAAAGGAACTTGTGACACACACAACATGGATGAACAATGAGGATATTATGCTAAGTGAAGTATATCAGCCACAAAAGGACAAGTATAGACAGGCCTGGTGGTTCATGTCTATAATCTCAGCAGTTTAAGAGACTGACGCAGGAAGATTGAGAATTGGAAGCCTATCTGGGCTACATATCAAATGCCAGGCCAGCCTGGGCTGTGTGGTAAGACCTGTCACAAACAAAAAAAGCCAAAAGGGGCAAGTGCTATATGATTCCATTGATATGCATTACATAAGACAGTTAAATTCATAGAGACAGAGGGTAGAA